TTGTTTTTTGGAAAGCTTTGGAGTAGAAATTTGCCTCATATAATTTTTGTGTAAATTAGCTTTATGTATAAAACTTTTAAATTAATTATAAATGAACTTAACTTGGCTTATTTTACAACTTTGAATATTTTGGCACTTTTTCAATATATATATATCTATATTGACTTGTTAAAGTGGTTTTCCTTTACAGGTATTTATGATCTTCTTTTTCAAAAGTGTTTTTTTTTTTTTTCCGCTGCAATCTTTTATTATAAATTTTGTTTCCGAACTCTTCTAGGACTAAAGGTGCCTAGGGAGGTGTGTTACACTAAAGGTAGTCCCGATTATTGCTGACTTAAGTATCAGAGTGTCTACTCCGAATTTCACCTCGGGGCTTTGCAGGTTCATTCGAAGTGAAGACGTGGACTGAAAAAAGACTTTTGGTTTAATGCAATTACAAAAGTGTAGTAACTAAATCTTAGTAAAATGTAATTGAATAAAAGATGAATAAAAGCACGAAACCTGGTCGTTGACGAGATCAAGTATATTAGTATACATTTTTTTGAATAAGTTGACAAAGAGTCAAGTCGAACCTAAACCTAGGGGAGGAGGGGAATGCATCGTGAGGTGACTAATGTCACTTGATCTGCAAGACTCGATGCATATTAGCATATATTTAAAACCAACATAAAAGCATAAAATAATTAATAATTTTAAAGATATTTCGAGAAAAAAAAGTGACACCCCAGGGTCAAGGTTGGACCCAGTACCACATCTGGCGACGCGGAGTTTACCAACTACTACAAAAGAAAGGAAGGAAAGAAGAGAAGGAAAACAGAAGTAGGGAAAAGCACAGAGAGAGGAGAAAAAAGAGAAGAGGTGAGATTTTACGTAAGGGCATGTGCTACTTATAGAAGTTCTCTTCTACATGGAGTTGGTTCAAGGGGAAGAGATAAGACCAATTTGTCAAGCTTAAATATCTAAATTTCATATCTTCCTGTTTTTTCCCTTTCATTGTTGCAGCCTCAACAACTCTTTCACATTTCTTATCCTTTCTCCATATTTCTTTCTTTTTGCAATTGGAGCTCCTCATCCGCTGAAGGTCTGCCGTCGACGCCGCTGGTGAGGCTTTGTATATCTTTTTTCTTTCCTTAAATTATTATTTTTTTCTGAGCATTGCCTGTTTTTAGAAAATAAGTTTTGATTTACACAAGATGTTGATTAATTACGACTTTGGGTTTTTCCTCTCTAGTTCTGGTGCCCTCGGTTGCAACTTTGATTTAGACATGGACTTGTACAACTGGAAGGAGAATCCGATTCCGCTTCAGCAGGTCAGAGATTTTTTCAACAAAATGAATAACGTCAGAGGGATACTACTTTTAAGCGTCTCGTTGCAAGTCTTCCTAGTATTTGTTGCCCCCTTGAGAAAATCCACAGGCAAAAAATGTCTACTCTTGATTATTTGGTCTGCTTACATGCTTGCCCAATGGACTGCCACTTTTGGTGTTGCCCTCATCATTCAAAAGGTCGGTGACGGCGACGAAGAACAAATGGGTTCTGTTGTGCTCTCATGTTGGGCTTCCTTTCTCTTGCTACACCTTGGCTACACCAATAACATTACAGCTTTTGCTCTGGAAACTAAAGAGTGGCTAAGTCATATGTATCGCCTCATTTTCCAAGTTTTAGCCACTTTTTATGTCTTGTTTCTTCTGTATTTTTCAAGTATGCCAGCAATTCTCATATTTATTGCAGCAGTGATAAACAATGCTGAGAGGACATTTGCCCTATATCTTGCGAGCCAGGACAGGTTCAAGAAACCAAATCCTGATTCCAAGTATGCAAGGCTTACGGAGGAAAATCAACACCACACAACTGCTGAAATTGCAATTAAAGTAGGTGGAGTACTAGATGACTTAGAAGTTATTCAATATGCTTATTACAGCTACAAAATTTGTAGCGGACTCGTGTTCGATCAAATTTACAACTTCAGGGAGCAAACTCAAATTCGAGAACTCTTTTCCTCAATAGAAGCAGAAAACGCTCTAAGGTTAATAGAGGTTGAGGTCAACTTTTTCTCTGAGGTTTTCCAAATAAAGTCTGAATTCGTGCATTCAGTGAAAGGATATGTTTGTCGATTTCTGGCCTTTGGGTTAGTGGCAACTGCCTTTGTATTGCTCCAGTGGAAAAGAAAGTCGTTTGAAGGAACTTTGGATTGCAGATTTGATCTTAAAATGACATACATTTTATTCCTCTATGCCATACTCCAAGAAGTGATGGTTTTCATCATGGTGGTTTTCTCCGATTGGACATTTGCAGCTCTTATGCCTGATGCAAGATTACGTGAGAAGAACTCATGTATTTCCAAGGTAAAACGGCATGTGTGTTCAATTCTTGGCAATTTCCTTGTTCTGAAAAGGCCCTCGTGGTACCCTTGTGAATGTGAAGTCATGCATGAGGTTCTAGCCACACCAATTTTACTTCGCCGGTGGTCAGGCTCTATCTCAACATACAACTTGATCGGATATTGCCTGAAATGTTGTCCAACCAGAATCCATTACCACAAAAGAGATTGTTTTAGCATTCTAATTGACAAAGTCATTCATTTGTCTGGTTTTGTCATCAACTTTTTATCCCTTGCGCTTCTTTTTGAAGCTGCAGCAGACATCATAAAAAAAGCCAGTAAATATTTGGGCAAATACAAGGCCTTTTCGTGGTCAGGCGTTATCATTGCCAGAGGAATTTGGTGGTTGTGGAGCTTAATCATCAAGTGTTTGTGCTTCATCGTCAGAAAAATATTTCAATTTCTCTTGCTTAAGAATTTGTTGGATGAGATGAGGTATGTCTCCAGAGAACCATTAACAAAAGACTTGTGGAAATTTATCTTTTTAGAGCTGAAAGACAAATCCAAGTATGCAGATAATCCAAGAACCATTCGGCAATTATGTACTGCTAGAGGCGATTGGGTTCTGAAGGATGGAGCTTGGGAAAGCTGTTCAAGGGCGTTAATTCCATTTCTGGCTGACGTTAGTTATGACCACGGCCTCCTTTTATGGCACATTGCAACTGAACTCTGCTACAACACTAATACCAATGAAGTTAATAATGAAAGTCCTGATGAATGCGGATTCTGTAGCAACAATTATCGTGAATTCAGTAAGATTCTCTCGGATCACATGCTTTATCTTTTGTTAGTGGAGCCAAAAATAATGTCTGCTGTGGTTGGAATTGAAGAAAAAATATTTCAAGAAACTTGTAATGAGGCAGAAAGATTCTTCACTGAGAATGGTTTAGGACCAAAACAACTAAAGAGGGCATGTGAACAAATTCTGTCTATGAATACAAATAATTTGAATAAAGTTACAAGTCAGTCTGTGTTGTTTGACGCGGTGAATTTGGCCAACAAGCTAAAAACATTGCAACAGGAAAATGGGGTAGACATATGGAAGCTCCTTAGCAAAGTATGGATGGAAATGTTGGCTTGTGCTGCATATCATTGT